ATATATATATATATATTTCTTGTTAATGTTAAAATATAGCACTTTTTTGAAAGCCCGGAAAAAAGTAAACAGACTTCAAGACAAATTACTTTATATTTTTATCAAATTTAAGTCGCATAAACAAAATTATTCCGTTTTGAAATTTTTGTTAATATCGTAAAATGCAAACTATAATCTTAATTATTTATAGCATTCAATTTTGTATTAGATGGTATCTATAATTTCTTGTGTAATCTATTTCTTTCATTGCATATTAGAAGAAACAAATAGTTATCCCAATGAATTATCTTTTATCTTTCATATTTTCACATATATTTATAAATTCGTTAAAAATTTTCTTCTTCATATTCAAAAACGATTCATTCTACAAGACGTTTTGAAAATAATTAATATACTACCATATCATTAATATAAAAGAATTCTATATTAAAGATATAAGAAATGTTGTTCATATAGGACCAAATAAAGGATAATCGTATCATATTATTCTTCTAAATATTTTCAACTTTTGTTAATTTCTTATTTAATAACTCGCTTGAAAAAAATTATTTTACATGGTAAACTGTAGTGCGCGCTATCGTCAATGCTATGTAAACCTTCCCTTGCATAAAATGGTCAATACATATACGAAATTATTAAGCTACGTATACATGAATAACTTCGTATATCATACGATATTTGCAAATTTTTATAAAACATATATTTATACAACAAAATTGCTACTTTCCCTTATTGTTTTAAAAACACAACATTATTCTTTACCAAGTCAATATAAATTATTAATTAGCAATTTTTGAATATACAATAGTGAGGAACATCTATACTATTCAACATTTTTTTGACATTAAAGCACACATATATAACACTTGAATACTTCTAACTCATTGTTTCTTTCATGTAATGTAATTTGCTTTCATGTCTTACGTTGTATTTTGCAATTTCGTTATAAATATATGATTAAAATAATTGACATAAACTAATAGCTTTTATCAATAATATTAATTACGATATACTATGGCTACAAATAAAAATGTTATAGTACGTACACCAAATGGTCGACGACAAAATATCGCAGTATCTCCAAATACTACGATATTACAAGTAAGCAACGAAACTATTAATAAACTATTTTTACATTAAACATTTTCATTTCATTGCTTATGTTAATGTTAAGTGAAATATATTTTTTGTAGATACTAGAAGATGTTTGTCGAAAGTATGAATATAACATAGACGATTATGATCTCAAGTAAGTATTATTTAAAAAATGAGTCAATATAAAATATTGAAAATCAAATATTTTACTTACAGACATTTCAATCGTGTGTTAGATACCAATGCTATATTAAGGTTTACAGGACTGGCAAATAATGCACAATTAGAAATGGTACCTTGTACAAAAATACGTTCTATTTCCACTGTTGTAATAGGTATTCAATTAGAAAATGGGCAGAGATTGATGGCTGAATTTACACCTAATGTAACATTAGCTGAAATTTTACAAAAAGTAAATGTGAATGAAGATTTTGAAACGATTACTTTAATTTACATGCATCGTCAGGTATGAATATATCTGCAAAATATTTCAATGATTTCATTGCTGATATTATTTTAATAATAAATTCTCTACTAAAAGATAAGTAGAAAATTCTATATAAATACATATTTATATACATTTATATAAATTCGCATTTATATCTGTTATAATTATCTTTATATTTTTACATCATACACGTTAATTTTTTTATCAATAAGTTATATTACTTTACAATTATTTAATTAAGTGACATCTATCATTAGTATTTCTAAAATTATGATCTATAGCCCTATAAGAAAGTGTAACGTTAATCTATTCTGTTAAATCTAGATTTATTTGGTTACTTGTATAATTTTACGATCTTTAATTTCAAATTTCTATTCTAATTTTTCAATCCAAACTTTTACTTATAATTAAGTGGGAAGAATTTTTTTTTAAATACTACTTAATAACAAAATCAATTTGTTAATTAATATAAATCATATATTTATATGATAAATTTGTTAGTTTCTCTTCATATTTCTTTTTTCTTTTATAATTCATCACTGCATAGCTTATAAAGTATTTAGTTCAAATAAAAATATATACGACATAAATATGTTATTTTAAGAAATACTTAGAAAATATACATGAAAGAATAAAAGAGAATGAAGTAAATTGTATATTTATATAAAATTAGAACTTTTGAAATTAGAAATTACGGTTTTTTTGCAATTGTACATGAGTAATTATGGAATTGTGAGAATGTTTAAGATGCGCAACTTTCATTTAATATCGTTTAATTATTTTTACAGATTTCTGGAGCAGAAGCTTTGAGAACAATAACTTTGAAATCACTGGGGCTCAACAGTGGTAAAGCTGTATTACGATTGATACATAAAAGTGCACAAAACATAGATACTATTGCTTTGACAACATCGGAAACAGTAAAGGTTAACAATATCTCCGATACAAATAAAAGGAGCGTTGAAAATAGATATCCATTAGCAATAAGTTCTGATGAAACATCAGATTCTATAATTTCCACTAAAGAGGAAGTACCAAGACCAGAAGAATTAGATGCATGTTCTGGAAACATTGAACAAAAAACAACAGAACTAACAAAACTAGAGAAAGAAAGGGAAATAATACCATCTATTAGCACCGATGACTGTAATAAACACCAAATTCTAGTACCATCGTGCAACAAACATGAAATAGATAATTTAAAAAATATACAATTTGTAAGACTTTCCTTTATAAAATCTTACATACTTTTTTCCTAATAAAAGATAAAAGATACAAGATACGTTTCTTTTACAGTTAGGTGAAAGAAATGCTTTGGTATTTAATCAAGGTGCAATTCAAGGATCATTCAGAGATGATTTACCAGACGATTTCTTTGATTTAACAGTTAATGATGCAAAAATATTATTAAGAGATGTCAAACGTTACAGAAAAGAATTAGAAGAAGCACCTCTTCTAACAAATACTCAACGACAATTAAATCAAGAGAAACGAATATTAAATCAATTAAACAGATATCATTATACAATAATCCGTATACAATTTCCAGATCAATTTGTTCTCCAAGGTTTATTTCAACCAATGGAAACTGTACAAGCAATTAAAGATTTTATAAAATGTTATTTGATTGATACCAATAGTGATTTTATAATTTGTAAGTAATAATAATATTTCAGAAGTACATAAAATATTCCAGCAATTTTTATTAGTAGAATAACATTCTCTCTATAATATAATATATAATATAATAGCGGTATTTGTAAATTCAGAGAAACTTAAGAGGCAATAATTACTAAACTATAATCTTATAGGTGATTTAAATTATATGATATAATTATACAGTATGTACCAGTATTATAACACACTTTTTAAGTGTTTTTAAGATTTAAAAAAACTCTCTTTTTCTATCAAACAGTTACTACACCACCGAAACATATTTTGAATCCTAATGCTCATTTAATTAATGAAAACTTAGTTCCTTGCGCTATTGTTCATTATTCTGGTCCATCAACTCTCAAATTGGATGTAAAACAAAAATTTACCGATCCTAGAGAAGTTGAACTACAAGTGGCTGAAGTTAGGTAAGTAACAGTACATAATTGTTGATTACTTATTATAGTATAAATACTATTTGGTAACTACTGGTTACTTTGTTTTAGAAAAGCAATAATAAAGCAAGAAACTGAAATAACAAATAATGAGGATCAAGAAATAAATCCTGCTACAACTAGTAAAGCGGTATCTAATACCTGTAACAGCAATGAATCATTAAATGAAAAAAAAAATAAAATTCCAAAGTGGTTTAATTCATCATATAAGTAATTTATTCATCTTTATTGTTATTAACAAATTCTTGTAATAATTAAAAGTAAAGTATAATAATAATTTGAATATGTACATAAATATACACAAATAAGTATATATATTCATGTATTTCATTTAATATTGTAATTAAATATAGTTTTGTACAATAAAGACTGAAATATAAACGAGAAGATATAGATACAAAATATAAATATTGTATAACAATTTATAAAAAAAAAACTATTTAAATTATTACTTTATAACTTTATATTTACATACGAACTTATTTTTTTGTCTTGCCTACAGTAAAAGTGCTATTAATTTTAAATGTTTTTTTTCTTTTCAAAATAATAAACATGTATATTTTGCATAGAATGATCATAGGAATTTCAATCTATTAACAGTCGTTAACATATTTTCATAAATATTAATATCTATATAATATTATTAACTTTGTAAATCAGGAGGTATTTTAGTGGGTGATTGTAATTGCAAATGCAGAAGTCGTCGAGTAGGTCCACCTATTATATTTCCAGTTGGTCCTGAACCACCTGCTTCCTCTGTAATACTTTTTATTAAATTATCTTCTATAATATCAGAGTCTTTATTCATTTCAGAATCCTCATCTTTTTCCATTTCAGATTGTAATTCAGAATTTAACAATCGCATATATTTATCCATTTCATTCCTTTTATCTTCATCGTCTTCACCTAAGGAACCTTCTGAACTTCCTTCAAATTCGTCTTCATTTCCTGGAACAACCAAGTCTAATATACCTTTCAATGTACTGTCAAATATATCTGCATCGAATTCAACTTTGCCATTGTCTTCTGGGTCATGCATTACATAAGCTTCTGATGAAAGATCTCTGAAAACAAAGAAATATATAAACTACATTCTCTCTAATGTTATTATTACAATTCTAACATATGTAACATACTCTAGGAATTGTACACCATCAATATCGCTATTTTGATTTAAGAACATTTGTACTTTTTCTTTAAGACTTAATGATTCTTGCTCGTATTTCTTGCTTTTAACATTTCCCCATTTCTCACTTAAATACGTTTCTAACTGTACTGGATCTACATTTAACCAACTATCACTATCTGCAGGGCTCAATGCACCTTCATCTTGAACTATATATAAAACATAATATAAAGTAATAATTAAACATTAATGAAAACAATGAAACATTAATTTTAAAAAATTACCATGCAATTCAACATCATTAGACTGTATGTTTTCCCATGCTTCTAAAATTTTTTCAGCATCACTCTTATTAGTGTTGGTAATAGAATTATATAGATTAAAATATTTCAAGTAATAATCTTTCGCTGCATTCAAGAGCTTTTCATATTCTTCACTGCCTTTTAATAAATTTCTAAAGTAGCCACTAACTTCTAAACGAGTTAAATATGCATTTAAAACACCTTCATTTGCTTTTAATTTTTCTGAATCATTAACTGATCTTTTTTCTCTTTTTCTACGTTCTTCATTTGCACGAGCAACTAACATTTCTAAACCACATGCTATTTTAATTCCAAGTATATGAGCATTATACTTTGAACAAGTTATTGGTGGTATATTCCAGCCTGTTCTTGGATCTCCTGTATACCGACAATGATTTGCCATAGCATACAAACATTTTGTCATTTTTACATTAACCATAATACGCTGCTCAGGAGGAAAATATTTCATAGCACGACAAACCTATAAACATAAAAATTCAGGATAATGAACTGAAATTTGCTTTTATAGAAAATTATATAATAATACTAAATTTTTACTTTTCTCTCAATTGGATCAGAGTGACAAATAGTTCTGACAACTAATGCAACCAATCTTGGTTCTTGTCGAAGTATTGAAACTGCTTTTTCTGGTAGAAAAACTCGAGCTTTATGATGTCTTTTTTTAATCTCATCAGGATAAATGTTAATTCGTTTTCTTAACACATCTTGTACTTTTTCAGAAGCTTTGAAAAGATATGTTTTCTCTCGAACATTATTTAATAAATTCAACAATGTCTTATGTTTTTCACGAACAATGTGCAGTTCACCATTATATATAAATACATGATTTTCACATGTTTCAGGATTAGCCCATGGGGGTAAAACATTTGCAGCTTCAATTAACAGAAATTCACCATCAGAATCTACAACTTTAGCAATTAACCCATCAAAAATTTGTGTAAGATTAAATATTAGAAAGACTGTAAACCACTCATCACTTATATCTTCATCGAAACATAATCGTACATAAATGTGAGGCAATATGTTACATTCTGTAAAAAAGAAAATAATAATTCACAATTAATATACTTACATATTCACATATATATAAAATTAGAACATTTTACCTTCTACAACTGTAGAATTTTCAATAAGCTTTTCTAATAATAATGCTTCCTTTGTTCTAGGATTAAAAGTTAAATTATCATTATGCCAAATATAATCTTCAATATATGGTGCAATTTCTTTATTGTATTTTGTAATTTCTTGTACAAGTATTTCTTCTGTTATAGTCACTGAAGGTTTTGTGTAACAAATTTTTGGATAAAGAAAACATTCAAGAACATCCTCTTCTTTAACTTTAGATATTTTTGTATAAGCCATGATTTTATTAATATCTATAATGTCTCAATAATTAAAATCACTTTTAATAGATATTATTTTATTTCCAATAAAAACAGATTTAATACAGATTTATAAAGAAATCAAAATTCAATTTTTATATGTATTAATAATAATTATTAAAAAACGGTTAAGAAAAATTTTTATCCAAATTTACTGATTTTTTTATATTTTATATATTAACTTTTATGTTTATAATTATTTATATGTAGTTTATTCAAATTTTTTAAATAAATTTATCACAGGATTGGTATTTCTTATTGTTCCAGACATATTAGACAATGAAAATAATTTTCAGAATACAGTTTGCTGATTTATGTTATTTAACACAATTTAAATACACATAATCAAATTGTTTAATATCCTACACATAGTAGTAAACAATTTGATCATATCTAAAGAAAAAATACTTCGCTAAAGAGTTTATACCAATCAATCTATACGATATAACGATTTTTGTATCAAGTCAGATAAATTTAAAGTGGTATAGAATCAATAAAAATAAATATTTAATTAATTATGTTTGTTATAGAATATCACATAATCTATCTTTTATGATTCGGAAATTAAAGATCTTTTTATGTTGAAACAACAAAAAATCTTGAGGTTTTTGTTTTATTTTAGAGAAGATCTTAGTAATTTATTGGTGCTACACAATATGTAACTCTAGGGGAAAATTTAGAATAATAATAAAGAATAATTTAATATGTAATTGCAATCCTACAGATTTATTATTATGTTTATTGTTAACAATAATTAAACTGCGTGATAATAAATATCACTATTATAATAATTTTATATCGTTCTAAACTATCGGCTATGAAATAAATGTTACTAAACACTTTCAAATTCGTACATATTATGAATAATATCAATGATTTATATTTTCTTTAATATTTGTATTTTATGTTGTTTATTAATATTTTCAATGTCTACAGTTTTTATTAATTAACTTTTATAAACATAAATATCATGAATTGATAATATTTAAGTAGTCTAATTATTGATATATGAATAGTGTTTGCATTATACACAAATAAATTATTAAGCTTTGATATTCTACGTGTAATTTTTATTTATTTTCTTATGTATTACCAATGTTTCTAATACCATTAGATTTTTAGATTATAAGGAGTCTAACTTTATAAGAAAAATTTATATATGTACATATATGCATACAATATGTTGCTTCAGTTAACTTTAATAACATATTTTATTAAAACGACGATAGAAAAATAAAATATTATCATGGTTATCAAATAGTTCCAAAACATTTAAATACAGTTTTAGTATTAAGTATTTATCTGTTTAAAAATGAAATTACAAAATAATTTGTATTATTTTCTTCAGATTTTGTATTATTATTAGCAGTCAATAACATAGTAAAATAATGTAACATAGTCAATATATAGAATATTATTTTTGTTGCAATATATAAAATTGATTTTTATACACAATTGTAACTGTACTATTATGTGTGCTATTTATATTTCTAATATTAACATTACTTAATAATAAGATATTCACATCATAGGGATTTTCTACCGTACGCTTAATAATTCATTCATCGTAGGCTTGCATGCAGAGCTGTAAGGTGCACGTTATATTCCTCTACCTCCAACGCGAAGTAGAAGAAAAATACTAGAAGTGGGAAATGATACTGTCCATACCCCACGTTTGGTAACGCTGCTGACATGTTATGGGGTTGGAAATGTGCTGCTTTATCGATGTCGTGAACGTGTAAATCACAGTGAAAGAATTCTAAACACGTGTTACGATTGATCGCCATCGTCATCCCCACGTCCACGTCACGTCATTCTCCACTCCTAGCTCTTTTACCTAATTTTCCGTTAAAAGTAGAGAAATGTAGCACACCTGATAGCTTTATTTACACTAGTTTCTTTTATAGGATCTGTATGACAGTTTAACACGTTCGCATCACAATATAAAATATACAAAATATACAAAAAAATAAAAATATATAAAATAATGATGGAATCTTTTTTATTGAATAAGTATTTGATTCTAGTTGTTAATTGGTGTGCGATGGTTGAATTGTTGTAGTACTTAAGATTCGACCTGCTTTTCTTTCACGAGGGAACAATGTTTCTTAGAAAAAGTATGCTTCTCGACCAAATGAAAGTATGATGACGTTAGGTCATCGGCCGTCGCTCCGGCTATCGAATTTGGGCCCCCCAGAAAACTCGACCGATTCACGTTGAACAATAAACGTATTAAGAGTTCGACTAGCTTGTTATTAATATGTAGGATCACTCAACTATATTATTTGAATTATTTTGTAAACTATTTGTTATATGAAAAATTGTTCTAAACAAAAGTTATTTCTGATATTCTTATTCATAAGATATAATGCAATAATTATTTTTCTTAGGTCTTTATCAATATATAAAGATCACCTTGAACTTTTTAGCCATAATATGAAGCATTTGATTATGTCATTTGAACGTCTGTTGAATGCAGAATAAGAAGTTATTAAGATACATGAAGTCAGAAATTAATAATTATCAAGATATTCTCCTTAGTTGTCTTTAATGTAAGAAATATTCAAAATGTTCACTGCAATTAATACAAGTACATAGGAAATCAATCTACCAAGGACAATAATCAAGTGGCATTAATTCAAAGACCAAGCAGACTATATTATTTTTCCTCCATGTTCAATCCATTGGTTGCATAAAAATCTTTGTAATACTCAATGTGCTGCTTGAGCATAGGCACTGTGCTGGTACCATATTGTTCGATTGCTTATAGAGATAAATTTGATAATACAATGGTAATGTTTCAGATAAAAAGATGGAATACTTATGTTTCATTAATGATCCTTTAATGAAATATAGCTTAATAATTTTACTGTCAAGTATATTGCACTAAACATTTAAACTCTAGCATTGTTGGTGATTAATTTCATGAAGTCAATGAAGGTTGTCTCATGACCAATAATATATATTTTTTAGATTAGTTTGACCAAAATTAATAAGATTCACCTCATTGGTAAATAAGGAATATTTTAGAAATGTATCACTTACATTTAGTTTACTTAGGAACCGTTGACAAAATTGCATATGATTTTAAAGATTTATCCCATGTAATTCTTGATACATGACACGAATGCAATTTTTGTGAGTAGATAGTTCTTGCAACACTTGTTTGACTACTTTCAGTACTTTGCGATATTTGCCTTGCGCTAATATATAGATTTTGATTAATGGTGGCATGTACAGTATTAATATTATTTTTAGTTTCTAGTATTTGCAAATATTTACATGTATGGTAAAAACTACTAGTTTCTGCAAGCCATTTGCCAAGCTTCTCAAATATATGTGATGGCTGATTTCTGTGAAGATATTTGGATGCATACAAATTTTTTACTCTAACTGCATTTTCATCACATGCGTGATAAACAAGAATCATATCTCACATTTTGATATTGCTAAATTTCATTATTATAATAAAGGTATTTGTTTTATTCAGTGTGTTCATTGTGTGTTTTATTCATGCAGTAATAACATGGAAGATCCTACATGTTTGTATACATTACAGGTAAGATAAGTATTGTAATGAATTTTGTGTTCAAAAAAATTTTAACATACTCCATTGAAGAAAATCTTGACAACTATTAATTTTTTATTCCATATATTTTAGTAACTTTCTATTCTGCATTCAGCAGACATTCGAATGACAATCAAATGCTGCACATTATGATTGAAATAATCGAGGTGACTTTTGTAACTTGATAAAGAAAAAAAAAAAAATAATTATTGCATACTATACTCCTCTTGATACCAAATAAGTTTTGTTTCAAATACTTTTTTATACAATAAATAATTTGCTAAAAAATTCAAATTAAAAACTTTTACTTTAGTATCTATGAAATGTATAGTAATAATAAAGATGAAGAATATGAATTATTACTACTGGATGATAAAGATTATCATTATGATCTAAATCACGAGGAAAGACGGAAAGACAGAAAGGATAATAATGAAGTAATAAATCAAGAAATAAAATATTTAATGAAATCAGTGTATCTATATATTTTATTTGACCATTACTTATGTTTTGAGATAAAAAATTTTTTAGAAAAGTTATATTTATTAGGTAAACTAACTAAATTGAACATAATCCTAACGTATAAAGGAATATTTGGTTTCCAAGCACCATAACTTATCATCTAACAATAATAGTGGACAAGTTATAGAATTCTGTTGTACAGACAGTTTTTTATGATTTTACAATAACAAGTAAAATCATTAATAACATTAGTGAGTACGTGTTATAAGTGTTCATTGCACGTTTATTGTAATTTTATACATTGCAAACATTTTAGTAAAATTTGTCTTGGAACATTAATAATATTATTCATAACTTGAAGTTATTGACTAGTAATTAATGAAGTATCAGATTTTATTATTTTAATTGTTTATAGATACAAATATTTTGATCATGATGGATTATTAACTTTTCTCATTTCTAAGTAGCAAAAGAAAAAAATTAGAATTGTTTATAACAAAATGAGGTTGTAAAAGATGTAAGAAAATAAATTTCAAATTACAAAATGGAATGAAATTTTATCAATTAATTTTGTATGTTATTTGAAATGTTATTTTTTATTTAATAGATAATAATGATATCTGGATAATAAAGATATCTGGATAATAAAGGAACAAGTTTGTATTATTTTATATTGACTTGATAGTAGGTGACAGGTATATATTATGGAATATTTTCATTAAATCCGTGAATCAATAATGAGCTGGATCGTGAAAAAAAATGTTACATGACTAGAAAATTTATTAGACGAAATGGTTGTTCCTCCGAATGGCACCTGAGGCCACTCGGCATGAAATTTGGTGGGATTAGAAGAGAGGAGGGGTGGGCGCCAAATATAAAATTTGAATTTGAAAAATTTAATAATTTCCTAAATATTAGGTTTGGCTATCTCTTATTTCGTCGACGAGCGGAGCGTATTA